GGGATCTAATGGCCCAAGAGATCTGCGGATCCCTCTCAACTGCTGTGTCGCTTCTGCGTGCTCTGGTGCGGGTTGGTCCCTACTGCCCCGCGCTCCGACGAGGCTCTATCTCTGCACGTTCACCTCACAACAGCGCCTCTCCCTAGCACTATCATCACGGAAGACTACTACTACTGGGAAACCGATGGCACCACTGCCACATTTTATTCCTCTGCTAAGACTTGGGAGGCTTTAAGACCAAGGCAAGACAAGAAAGATTGGGTCAACTCTGTGTGGTACAAAGGGGTAGTGCCCACATTTGGCTTCAATATGTGGGTGACGCACCTTGATAGGCTGCCAACTAGAGCTAGACTGGCCTCTTGGGGACTAAATATTAATACTGCTTGTTGCCTATGTTCTGCTCACCATGAGTCAAGGGATCACCTGTTTATTAAATGTGATTATTCTGCTGTGATTTGGCTGATGGTACTGTCCAGAATTGATCATCGACATGCTGTCTTCTGTACTTGGTCAGAGTTGTTGTCATGGACCAGATTGCAGTCTCAGGATGCTCCGTCTATTCTCAGAAAAACTGCTGCCCAAGTTTCTGTTTACCACATATGGAGGCAACGAAACAACGTCTTGTACAATATGCATTCGCTCACCCCGCAAACAATCTTTAAGTATATTGATCGCGACATCAAGAACATCATCACATCAAGAAGAGAAAAGCGTCTCTTTCACAGGCTAATGCCACTTTGGCTACGATGAATTCTACCCTGAGTTCTCCTAGATCTTTATTGAATCCCTTGTTTTTATTCTTTTTTGCCAAGGTTTCAATCTCTTAGGTTATGCAACTTTGTAATGCCTGATTTTTCATTTTAATGATATTTACATGCGTAGCAAAAAAAAAAAAAACATTAGAATGTGAAGTGAAACAGAATCCATACAAACGTACATATGTAAATTATGGTAGGATCATATGTGCATGCAAAATTACAAACCAAACCATACCGAATCAACCAAATCAACCAATAAAATAGATTAAATGAAAAAGGATTCATTTTTAAAATTTGAAATATTATACGAGGGTCATGCCTGGAAAAATATATCTGTGGGAATACGGAGGAGCTTGACTATCCGGTAAGCGATTTTGTCGGTTCGGAACGTGGTGCTTCTTCAAATCTATCGACAAATTTGCTTGATAAGTCTCCCATGGCTGTTCAAAATATACATAACTATTAATTCATATATATACATATAAAAGTGCTTAATTTGTCTACGAAATTTGGGATGTATATAAATTTACCATAAAACAGTTCCAAGGCCAATCCGATCCATCTTTCCGAGTAATTTTCATCTTTGCTGTCTCTATTCCCCAATAACTTGGAACCGCCACCGATCCACCGCCATTTTGATCCTTCTTCACCGTCGAATTTTCATCTTTATTCTCCGTCGCTGATGCAGAACTCATCCTCCTCCACCTCAATTTGAAATCTCCTATTCAAAATTTAGAAATATATGAATCCTAATTATGTGTTAAATTTTGTTATGTTTTAGATCGTGTACAATTTTGATAAGGTTGTATGAGGATCATCTATAAATATGCACACCTTGCACATGCTTAGAACCAATCTTAAAATCACCAAAACGGCCGCACCAATCATGAATTCGCATCGGTTTCGTTCTCTCATACGGACTTTTCATAACGGAGGCGGCGGAAACAGAACTCACGAACATGTTACAGTTTCCTCCGCCGCAGACAAGCAGAGCTCGTAAAGTTGTTCTCGCAACTATCATCTCACGGCAGTCTCGTATACCTATAGATTCACTTCTCAGATAAGAGGCTTGTTGTTTGACTGAACGAAAATGATTCAACTCTGTTTTTTCTCGAAAGAAAGTGTAAGTAGAGCAAACAAGAAGACAAAAGAATCGACGTTATGAGCTGTTTCGCGGCGAATGCTGCTGAATACACGTGGCTCATATCCAACTGTTGCTTTAGTATTAAGGAAAAGAAACCGTATTTTTTTTATGAACGAATGCACATTTTTTACTTTTTTAGTGTGTCCGAATCTTGAAGTGTCGTTCAGTAACTTGGTCTTGACTGAACAGTCCGGTCCAATATGTTTTTGTTTGGTAATAATAGATTCGTTTTCTTAAATAACCAAAGTTAATAATAGATTAGGATTTAACCCGCGGTACACCGCGGAGTCATATTTTATTTCTTTAATTAACAATGTTTAAATTTTTTTAAAAAATAGTATTCAAATTAGATGATATAAATTTTTGATGTTTTTAAGTTTGACCCGTAGAACATATATAATTCAGTAACATAGTATTGTAATTACACATTTAGAAGTGTCAAAAGAGATTAAAAGATTCAATATCCGTTGTTGCACTTCTTTCTCTGTTTGTATAACCCGTCAAAATAAAAATTAGAATTTAATATTGTCATTTTCTCTTTACAAATTTATTTTATGATGTGTTAGTATTACGATTCTCAATTTTTTTTTATATGCAAACAACATCAAATGCATGGAGAAGAAGGTATGATACATTTCTGCTTTATATTTAAATATTCAATATATTGATAAAAACTGAAATCAAATTTAAAAAAAAAAAACTAAAAATTGAAACTCTAACTTCAATCCGACGACTACTTCTATCTCCTCGATCATCTCTAAGCCTAGAAAAAAACAAAAATAATCCAAATCAGTACCTTCCATACAATCGAGAAAGGAGTCTCTAAACTGAAAAGATGATTTCAATTCAAGAACAATCACCTATTATGGTCACGATCACGGCATTGGCCATAGTCATCATCATCTCTTCTACCACGTTCTTTTCTTTCACTACGCTCGGTTCTATGATCCATGACGACTGTTTATATGATGACGCTCACAATCTCTGTATGTTCTTTCCATCTATATCGCTTCTTCTAAGAGAGACTTTAGAGTCATTTTTCTGTCCTTATCACGGCCATTCTCTCTTTCTTTATCATTACTTTTTGAAGTCTCTCTTCCATGGTCACGTATTTCTCTCTACACAATTAAAAACACAACTCATAAATTAGTTTTAAGAATCAATGAAACTAAACGAAAACCATACACAAAATCAATGAAACTAAAATAGATTACAGCTAGTAGATAAACTAATGATATAAGAATAACAAAATTGTACTATATTTATAGTGTTAAGAGAGTTGTTTGTAATTTTCGGGTTGATAGAATATAATTTCTCTAATAAATAATGAAATCAAATCTAAACGATAAAATTTTTTTTTGTAAAGAACGCATTTGGATAGTAATTATTATATGTGCATGTATACTATTAAATAGGTATTAAAACGGAAATGTAGGATACTATTTAGATTTTTTATAGAAATTTCTTAAACTAATTAGATTCCAAGATTTGTTACGTGAGAGTAATTAGGGGGATCACATTAAATAATCGAAATTTTGAAAAGAAAGATGCGAGATTATTGCAAAAGATTAGAGCAAATATTTTTAATCCGGCGAATATATTTAATGTTTTACTTGGAGATGAGTAAATAATTTATTGATTTTAATTCTCTTGTTGTAGATATGGTTAGTAGGATTATCGTAAATGTTAAGTTGATTGATTGGTAATAATCTTGTTCTGAATTAAATTCAACATTTTAGTATTCAATTTAATTGAGAACAAGATTATAATCACATTCATGATGATTCAGCAAAAGTACACATTAAATAAAAAAATTCATCCACGTGTCCACGTGTAAGATTCTTATTGGATAAAAATGTTTTCCTTCACTGATTCATAAAACAACCTCCACCATATCGGCGCTTTCCTTCCGATTTCGTCCTCCCCCAGAAAGACAGAGAGAAAGGAAAAAAAAGAAAAAGAAAAAAAAAATCATCGATTCGCTTTCACAACCTGGAAAGCTCGAGAAGAGAAGAAAAAATTGATATAGAGCTTATTAGCTCACTTCATACATACCCCACCCAGATCGATTTAGGGTTCGTTTGATTTTTCTGTGATTGCGACAGCTAGAGATCTATCTCTGGTGGATTTTTGGGTTTACGTCCCATGGCGGATCGCGGATCTTTCGGATTTGCTCCTCGATTAGGTCTCTCTACCCGTTTCTAGAGTTTTTGCTATTTCTCTTTCCGTGTTTTGTACTCCTTTTTAGTTGTTTGGATCTGATCATTATTAGTTTTTTTTTGACATTTTAGTGAAGGGAAGGATTCTAGCTTGTTGAATTACGATATTTATCTTTAGCTATGGAACAGTATACTGATGCAATAAGTTGAAGCATTAATGTGTTTCTTACCCTTTTATGAACTTGTAGATATCAAGCAGTTGCTGTCAGAAGCACAACACAGGTGGCTGAGACCTGCTGAGATTTGTGAAATTCTTCGGAATCATCAGAAGTTTCATATTGCTTCGGAGCCTCCCAACCGACCACCCAGTATGTTTCTTGCTGATTTTCTTCATTGTTGTTTGCAAGATCAATAGGATACTGAATAAGTTACATTAGTTGGGTTTTATTTCTGTCTTGCATTAACGAACTTTATGCTTCACTCTTAACTTACACTGCCCCGTTTATCCTGTTAGTCCTGAATTGTTCAGAAGTTTTGTGTGTTGCTTGCCTTGACAACAATTTATTGCAGTTTGTCCTCTTTATTTAACAGAAATTTCCTGCTCTTCTAGGTGGTTCACTCTTTCTATTTGATAGGAAGGTGCTCAGATATTTCCGAAAAGATGGGCACAACTGGAGGAAGAAGAAAGATGGGAAAACGGTGAAAGAGGCTCACGAAAAGCTCAAGGTTAATATTTTCATTGATGTCTCCTCGCTTAATATTAGTGCAGATTCATGCAATGACCTTGAAACCAATTCCTTGGTTTTACTACTGATTTTTCTAGCTGATAAAGCAATATCTCAATGTTAGAGGGTGATAACATTGTTTTAAGTATATACAGGTAGGAAGCATTGATGTGTTACATTGTTATTATGCACATGGAGAAGATAATGAGAACTTCCAGAGACGGTGCTACTGGATGCTTGAACAGTGAGTCTTTCTATGTTTGTCCACTTTTCATATGTTTTGTTCTGTTTAGTATCATAAACGTTTATTTTTCAGCATTTATGTGCTTTGTTCATTGCATTTTCCTTCTTTAAATCGAACCATGTAAAGTGTGCCTCGTAGTCTGCTAGTGTCCTGGGAATGGCCATTTTATTGTATTTAGCAGAACATGAGCTCGAAAGGACAGAGAATGGAATATAATTCTAATTTCCGACATTCTGCTATAAAAAACATCAATTTCTAGCTTGTGAAATGAAATCGAGGATGATGTTCATACAAGACTGAACCAAAGGCCATTTCAAGTGATCTCTGAAATCCCTATCTTCTGGAATGAAATGTGCTTGTTGGTACTTTTCTTCATTTGGTGTTACTTTTCAGTGTTAGTGCTCACGTCCACTCTTTGTGTGTTATATGAATACAGGGATCTGATGCACATTGTGTTCGTTCACTACTTGGAGGTTAAGGTATAACTTTTACTTTTGTACTGTACTAATATATTTTTAAAATATGAACTTCCATCACTCAACATTATATCTTCCTTTTTAAGTGGATGCTCTCTTTCCTATGATATGGTCATCTTATATTGTATGCCATGCTATTATACAGGGTAACCGGATGAGTACCAGTGGAACTAAAGAAAACCATTCAAATTCTTTGAGTGGCACCGGTTCTGTAAATGTCGATTCAACAGCAACCCGATCCAGCATATTGTCACCATTATGTGAAGATGCTGATTCTGGTATAAAATTTCTCTTGTATAGAATCTGCTTTGGTATCATTTTGCTTAAGAATGTAGATCTTTCAGTGATGAGACTCTGGTTGATTGTATTGCTGCTCTTGCTTCTGCTTCAACACAAACTAATATCATTTTGATGCAGGGGATAGTCGTCAAGCAAGTTCCAGTTTGCAACAAAATCCTGAACCTCAAACTGTTGTTCCTCAGATAATGCATCATCTGAATGCTAACACAATGAATTCTTATAATACGACCTCTGTTTTGGGTACTTCATTTACTTTCTGCTTTACAAGCTACCTTGCCTTACCAAATTCCTGCATGTTTGCTGAGAATGTCTTCTCTTCCTAGGAAATCGAGATGGTTGGACGTCAGCTCCTGGCATTGGAATTGTTTCGCAGGTTCATGGGAACAGAGTCAAAGAAAGTGACTCCCAAAGATCAGGTGATGTCCCGGCATGGGATGCTTCCTTTGAGAATTCATTGGCAAGATACCAGAATCTACCTTATAATGCTCCGTTGACTCAGACACAGCCTTCTAATTTTGGTTTGATACCCATGGAAGGGAAAACAGAGAAAGGTTCCCTGTTAACGGCAGAGCATCTGAGAGATCCTCTTCGAAATCAAGTAAATTGGCAGTTGATATATGCATGCTTATATCTAAGCTATTCATTTTTAATCTAAGTAGGATTTGTGCGTATGTTTTTTTTTATGGTGCAACTGTTTAACTTGATTATTCAAGCATGCATTTTCTCATCATGAATGTTGGTTCGTTGAAAATATCTGATTTTGAGTTTCTCTTCTCTATAGATTCCTGTTCAGGAAAGCGTGCCATTGCAAAAGTGGCCTATGGATTCGCATTCTGGAATGACTGATGCTACTGATCTTGCCTTATTTGGGCAAGGAGCACATGAAAATTTTGGGACATTTTCCAGTCTTCTTGGCAGTCAAAATCAGCAGCCTAGTAGTTTTCAAGCTCCTTTTACAAATAATGAAGCAGCATATATACCTAAATTAGGCCCCGAGGATCTT